TCAACATTGACTGTTGATTCAACTTTTCTCAAGCAAATCCAGTCCAGTATGTCCTCAGACCCTCTTGTTTATGATATCGAGAATAATTCTTCCAAGTCTCATGATCCTTCTAAGTTCGAGTTCAAGAATAATCTATTATATTTTGAAGGACGCCTATATGTTCTAGAAGGAGAAGCACGTTTACGTGTTCTTCAAGCATGTCATGACTTTCCAGCAGTAAGGCACTTTGGATATAATAAGACTTTGGAACTCATATCAAGAGATTTTTGGTGGCCACAAATGTGGAAGTCAGTCAAAGACTTTGTACAATCATGTGATATTTGTTCAAGATCAAAAATTCCTCGTCATCGACCTTACGGACTTCTTCAGCCATTACCTATACCAGAACAACCATGGTCTTCTGTTTCTATGGATTTCATCACAGATCTTCCAAGCTCAAGATCTTATGATTCTATATTTGTGATAGTAGATCGTTTCACCAAGATGGCACATTTTGTGCCATGTACAAAATCTATCACAGGTGAAGAAACAGCTAAGCTTTTCATTGATAATATCTATCCCTATCATGGATTACCTAAAGATATCATATCAGATAGGGAAACTCAATTTGTGTCAAGATTTTGAAGGACCCTTTTCAAGATTTTAAAAGTGGACATAAAGCTATCTTCGGCTTTCCATCCTCAAACTGATGGACAAACAGAGCGCGTAAACCAAGTCTTGGAGCAATATTTAAGGTGTACTATCAACTACCAACAAGATGATTGGACAACCCTTCTGCCATTGGCAGAGTTTGCTTATAATAATACGGTACATTCTTCCACGTAACAAACACCTTTCTTTGCCAATTATGGCTATCATCCACGACTTGATACTTTTGATTTTTCAAAAGTTGATAATCTTGTAGCAGAAGATATGGCAAATCGGTTGTCAGAGTTACATGCAATAATGAAGACGCAATTGAAGGAAGCTCAAGAACGACAAAAGATATACGCAGATCTATATCGTAAGGAGCAACCACAATTCAACATGGGTGATAAGGTATGGCTACTTCGTCGCAATATCAAGACTACTCGACCTTGTGACAAGTTGGACTATCGTAGGCTTAGCCCCTTTTCTGTTTCTGAACAGATCAACCCAGTTGCATATTGGTTACATCTACCGGAGTCAATGAAGTTCCATCCTGTATTCCACGTGTCTCTTCTTGAACCATATAAGACAGTGGATATACAAGGAAGAAGACAAATGCCACCGCCTCCTATAGAAGTAGATAATAATGAAGAATTTGAGGTAGAAGAGATATTAGACTCAAGGCGGCGCCGAAATAAGCTGGAATATCTTGTTCATTGGCGCGGATATGATATTAGTGAACGCACATGGGAGCCATCCAGGAATCTAGGAAATGCATCAACTAAAGTCAAAGTTTTTCATCAACGACATCCATCAAAACCAAGATAAAAATCTCTCTTATAAAAGAGACAAGATTGAGGCAAGATAACATTCAATTTCCTATCCTTATTTGTAACTTCTTCGCATTTGTGACGCTAATTAGATGGAGAGCCAACAACCAGTGGATTCAACTTAAGAACCTTCGTTTGCTGACCTACCGGACGAGACATTACGATTGCCACAACCTTCAAGACGACGCAATCGAGATGAAGATCTTCAAGAACGACATGTTCTTCCTCGAATAGATGGTGAGATACAACGCGTTTGGTATCACGATTAGGGAAGGTACTCTCGATGTTTGGTGATTTTGCTAGAGGTAGAAACAACTCCTGATGGTGTTCCGAATATTCTATTCGAAGGAAGTTACGAAGGCCTCAACAATGATCAAATAACTGGGTGGTCTTTCCGCCCTGGTATGGGACACTACCGATGGTTGAGAGGCCCTATCAATCATCTTCGAAGAGAACAGAGATCAGAGTATGTGGCGAATACAATTCGTCGCATCATAGATTTCCTCAACATATGATGATCGCTCCTCGTGGAACTCGTCTCTAGAAGGAGGGGTAATGTCACGGCCATAATCATGTAAGCTAATAATTACATATAGAAATAGGTAGAAGTAAGTAAAAGTAGATAAAAGTAAGTTAATTCTATAATATTTAATATAGAAGCTTCTTAAAAACTTCCTAGACACTGCTTTGACTTCATAGGTGTCTTTAATTGACTTTTTGGATTAGAAACATGGTCAACAAGTTGGCCATGTGCCACACATGTTGTTAGCTTGAAGATCAAGCTAACTATGTGGCCCACACGTAGAAAAACTTGCCTTATAAGTCAAGGCATGTGTCCTACAAAGTCAACACATATTGAAGGTCCTATAGAATGTCGCCATGTAGCCCCTAGTTAGATAGTATATATAGAGACAAGAGTGAAGGCTTCTTCACTCTTGTCAACTCCTTTCTTGCTTCTAGTCTAGTTTCAAGGATCTCTAGTTTTCTTATCTTTTGGCAATAGCCATTCTAGTTTCTCTTTTCAATATACATACTTATTATTCATATTTTGTTGCTTTTCTTTGAGTGATGGCTTACTTGTCTGAACTGTTTTTTCATCGAGTTCTTGTCCTTGACAGTGATTTAATGTAGTGTGTTAAATTGATATTGAATTTTGTGTGATTTTTAAATAATAATTAATTATTTTTAAAATTTCTAACATGTTATAAATTCAATTTTTATCAATATTGAGAAATAAATCCCTAAAATTTTATTAATTTTAACAAATTTTGTTACTTTTAAAAAATATTTTATTGATCTTTCACTGTATTAAAATTATTTCAATAAAATTTTGATTATTGTATAAAGCTTTAAGAATAAACTTACTAGTTCTTTTGCTATAATATTACCAACTTTTTTTATAAGTCAAAAGTATAATATTATCTTTTAAATTTCTTTAATTGATATATAATAATATTTACAAAGTAAGAAATAAAAAATATATATACAAAAACTTTTAAAATAAGAAGATTTTTATTAAAACTTTAAAATTGATGGTATATTATAAATGCTATTATAATATTTGATTTATAATCTAAATCCTTTAATTGATTTGAAAGTAAAAGGTTAAAGAATACTTAATCTCTATTTTTGAGGTTTTAAAGGATTATTTAAAAACTTAATAGAAATCAATAATTTTAATCAAATATAATTTTTAATAGAATTCTATAATAATAGTATATATAATTAGCTTATATATATATATATATATATATATATATATTCTTGTAATTTTGTTGGTAAAATTTAAAAATAAACCTTATTATTTTAATAATTATATTATTTGAAAATATATATAACTAATTAATTGGTATTAAAAGCTTTCTAATTTAAGTTTATAAAAACATGTCGTTAAGGTTGCTTTGGAATAAGTAATGATTAAAGACATCTATAAGATTAATGAAAGAAGGTCTTTGATTAAGAAAAATTTCTTTATTTTGAATTATTTTTGTACTTTTATATTTATTTTATATCATTAAATAATTCTTAGAATAAATTCAAATTTTATCAAAACTATTTCAAGATACCTTGTATAAATAAATAAAAAAAAAAATCATCACATACTTAAGAGATTTTTAATGGCATTATATATATATATATATATATTCATTCTCTAAAATAGTTTCTTTTCTCTTTTTTCTTTTCAGAAAAAAAAGAATTTTTGAAATATTTAAATGAGCTTTAAGCTGAATTTTTAAGCAAATATAAATAATTGAGTTTGAAGTTTAAATATATAGTTGTGTCTATTTGAACATATAGTATATTTCAATTAGAGTATCATAAAGGCCTAACATGCTAATGGATAGAGTAGTTTGATCTATTAGTTGTATATATAGATATATGTATATATGTTTTCTAATTCAATTGGAATTTAAATATTTATTCAAAAGATTGATGTTGTTATTATTATTAGTTGTTTAGTTATTAATTATTTAAACATGTGCTCTAATTTATTGTACTACATTCTATAAATGTTATATATAAAAGTAAATAAAATAGTTTATGTATCTAAATAAAAATGCTGAATATTTTAGTATATTCTTTTATTTAAGAAACTTTTCATTTTAGAGGCATTTCTTATGGATTGCATATGAACTACATCTAATATTCTTTTTCTGCATTTGAGGGTTCAAACATGGCCTTTTTGGGTGATATTTCACCCGCTATGAGATCTCAAAGTATTCCATGATATTTCAAAATATCAAAAGAGAAGTGGGTGAAATATCAAAAACTGCATTGCTTACCTCAACTCTCTTCCCTTTCCGACTCATTATTTGACTATCTGACTATACAATACTTCACAAACTTGAAGATGATAATAAAGTTTGAATGGTGATATTTTGGATTTAATATTTTGAGTAATCCTAGAGATATCACGTGCTAAATTCCAATTATTTGGTTTTACAAAAGTGCCATATTTGAACCCCTCTATTGTAGACATCTCCTTGGATAAAACATGAGTTTTCACGAACATTTGCAAGATCAATTAGAAAATTCAAGGCCAACAAAAGAATAATTTATATTTAAAGTTGTACTCTTCCTCACCAGCTATCTCTAATGCAAATCCATTCTCCCTTTTACATTTAAACACACACATACATACAACTACACTAAAGATAAAAAAATAAAAAGGAAACGAAATCAGTTATTACACAGTGCACCAGCAAAGAGCAACATGGAGTTTTTTGTGCACAGCATTAATTGTAAAAGTGTGAGATGCCCTCTGGCAGTGTGTGTGTGTGTGGGTGGGCGTGTAAGGAGCATATTCTGGGGCCAGAGTGGGGTCTGGGAGAGTGTGAAGAAGCAAGCCTTGAAGAAGAAAGTAAAAAGAAAAAAACTGAAGGAGCAACAACCGATGCTCACTCAGAGTCACGGTGAGAAGATGAAGCGGTGCAAGGGAAAGGGGGCGGGGGGGGAGACGAAGAGGCAAGTCGGCCTGGGTGGGCACAAAGTGGGAAGGAACACTGAGATGAAGAAGAGGGGACTAGTGCGATGCAATGCCAATACAATACAATATACAATACAATTGATACGAATGGATCAATACCATGGGATTTATAAACACGGCCACCACAGCACTCTCTCTCTCGCTCTCTCTGTCTCTGAAATCAATAATGCAGTGCAATGGAATGCAACGTCAGTCTGAGTTGATGGTCTCTCTAGGGTCCTACTGTCTACCACGCCACATTGCTCCGCACGGAGCAGACCACTTTTAATTTAATTGAATTCGCTCTCTCACTCTCTCTCTCTCTCTCTCTCTGCCACCCCTTACTTGCCCACCGCAGCTTATTTGAGTTTCAGGGGCTTCCAAGCCTCGGCTTCCGCCTGAAGTAAGGGTATAAGAATTCACCCACAAGTTTATCTGCACTGTACTGCATCTGATGCTAGCAAGCTAATAGATCCCTAGTCTAGATCGTGCTACAACTGATGCTTGGTTGGTTTGTAACATGATGGGGCTCAAATCTGGTCGAGAACAGCGGCCATGCGCTGGAGCTCCTGAGACATGGGTGCCATGGAATCGAACATGGCATCATGGCCTCCGTGACTGGCTTGCATCTGCCAGGTCATGCAGTGCAGTGGCTGCTGCGAGGTGCTGAACTGAGCATGAGATGATGGTCCGTTGTTTTGCGTGTGGGGGTGGCTCCCCTGGGACCGGCTCAGATTGTTGATGTTGTGATTCTGACGAGGGTTGTTCTCGGGCGTCGGCAGCAAGTCGTTCCATTTCATGACGGTGTCGTGGTCCGGTCCCTGGTCTGATGAGAACCGGGGTCTAGTGGATGTTGTATCGCTGATGGCGTCTTGACCTGGAAGGTGACCAGGTTTGAGAATGGTTGGTCCCGAAGTGGAATCAGCGTTGGACCAGAGATGGTTGCCACTAGGCTCCTGGAACACGAGATGGCTGCAGGGGTGGCTGATCCCCGTATCGTTACTGGTGCTGCTACTGCTCGGCTCGCTACCATTTTGCCCCTGCCACCGGTACGGTCTTCGGACATTAGTATGGTCCACATTCATGGCGTCGTCATGAGCTGATCCTGAACCCGATCGCAGCTGCAGATTCGCAGTGATGGAGCTCAAGTCCCCTCGGTCCTGTACAAACCTCTGGAAGCTCTCGCCGTGGAAGTCGTGGGGAGCGGACGACGAGCTCGGCGCAAAGGGACCTAACCGCATCTCTATCTCTGGAGCTGAATGCTGATTATGGCCAGGGAATGGTTTACCTGTGCTTTGAATCGGTTCAGAGGAGGAAGAACCGCTTGAGTGTAGCAGCCAGAAGACAGGGTTGAAAGTTGGTGGAACCATGGTGGAGTGCTGGTGCTCAGGGTTCGGTCCATTGGAATCATGGTCGAGGCTTTCAGTCGCATGTTGCATGGATGGCACCTTTGGAGGCAGCCCCCCGCTGTGCTTCCCCCCCATCATCAGTCGCTCCAGAAGGTTGTCGGTTGACAATCCATTGCCCTGCATACTCTGCACGCGGTTAAAGTCCAAAAATTGACTGTCTCCATGAGACTGAATATGGTTGAGACCTCTGGTTGGATTGTATAGCACATCTTCCATAGGGTTAAACGGGTTGTGGGAAGCTGGAGGATGGAACAACGACTGCGCTTTGAACTCGTTGTTTGTAAATCTGACGCATCCCAGGGAGTTGTTGGGGATGAGTTGCTGGTTGGAAGAGGGTGATCTGTTGGATTCGCTTGGGGGATTGATCTCACTGGAAGAGCTTTCACCGAGTAGATTTGATGACTCCGGGCCCACGAGCTTGTGAGTGTTGGGGTCGATGCCGATGTTACGCAGCTTCTTCTTGATGCAAGAGTTCCAGAAGTTTTTTATTTCGTTGTCCGTGCGGCCTGGTAGCTGGGTTGCAATCTGTGACCACCTGCATTATACAGGATCAAATTCTGCTTTAACTCAACATTTGCAAGGAGCACATGTAGCTGCAGAGACTACAATCCGGCCCTTCTGCCTCTCATCGATGAAGCTACTGTTATTCACGCACCCCCAATCGACTAGGCGTCCACGTTGAAACTCTTCGTAGATATTTCAGACAGCTAAGAATGATTCTATATGGACCAGAAGACATGTATGGTATCGTGAGTTCGAGGAGAGACAGTTGTCAAAAGACCTGAGTCTAAGGTGAAATGAGGTGTTGAGAATGAGAGAACCTGTTACCAAGAACAGCATGCAAGTCAATGATCAAGTTCTCCTCTGCTGCCGAAAATACGCCTCGTTTCAAATCCGGCCGGAGGTAGTTGATCCACCGCAACCTGCAGCTCTTCCCGCACCTTTGGAGACCTGTTGCAGCATTCATTGTCCAGGAACATTCATCAATTTCTCCACACGATTAGATTCCTTACATCAATGAAAAGAACCTTTTTTCACTTTAAATATGTTAATGACAGTCTCTTGGTTTACAGGTATTTATTCCTTTGGACCATCTCATTTGACCTATTCAAATTTATTTCGAATGTTGACAGAACTAACCATAAAAGTCTTAAAACAGTAACGTAAGACAAAACCAGTCAACTACAGCAGCTCCAGCAGCCTGCGTCATGGCTCGCAATCGCGTTGAGGGAGCTGAAAGCAAATCGTGCTGGTGCAGAATTCCCTTCTGGTTATACACGTGCATTTTGACGTTTTCTTTTCCACTTCAATTCAACTGGAGAATCGAACCCGTATCATTGCAGAACTCACGTCCGGCAACTTATGGTGGAATTAGAAAATTATTTCCCGTTAAATGCGTAAATTGCTGGATTCTCGCTAGTGAAGTGGAAACCCAGAACAACAATTCTCGTTCACGCTACAACACAAAAAATTATTCTATGTGACTGTAAACTACCCTTCAGCCAGGTCTCCAGGAGCTACGTACATGCACAAGTTATCAAGAACTACGACCCTGTAACCGACGTGGAGGGCCGTAGTTCTCAGCACAAGAATAGTGTGGCTTCAATTGACTGTATCTCTGGATGATTCCTGGTATTGCAAATACAAGGCAAGATTGAAGGTATCTGTATGACACTGGGCAAACCAATGCTATAAATGTGAGTTTCGTAATCTATAACACAGTCTTTGGAAAATTAACTGCAGGCCAAATTGACCTCAACATCAGCCCCTGCAAAATCCCCCCCCCCCCTCCTCCCCATTCCTTGATGTTTGCAGGTTGCAGATATAATCTAGAATGCTTCCGGACTTAAGACTGAGTTAGGGAGCAGACGTACGTGCTGAATTAGAGACAAGGCAGCTCATTTCGTTTCTATGCTAATCTAGTCGTCCACAAGTGTCATTCAGTAGCCCATCAGAGGATGAACACCCTTTGTGGTGGGTCGGGCGAGCAAGATTCAAGCTAGAACTAACTGTGAAAATTGTCACGGACGCAGTAGCAGGAGAAACTATTGGATGGGTAGCCTGGGTTAGCAAAGCACTCACCAGCTTGTTTGGGGACGGCACTCCAACAGCCATGGCCGTGCTTGGTTATGAAACGCACCAGCTTCTCATCTTCTTCTGGTGACCACAGCCCTTTCTTCAGTTTTTGTTTGTGACAACACGAGTGGCGGCCCATGATCTTTATATCTCCAACCTGTGTTGAGCTCCAGCTTGCCTAACTTTCGCTATCTCTAATTCCTCGGGTGTCATCACGTCTTCTCAGATACTCGTAACTTTCACAAATGGAGGCAACGCCTTTACAGTCTCTCAACCTTCTGTTCGGGGACGGGATCAGTATTGTGGCTAAGCAGTGAGTCAACTATTCTAGAACGTTTTCCAGCCGCAGGATCAAGTCGCATGATCCTTTAACAAGTGAACACCTCTAATTATACTGCTGACGAATGGCGTAAATTTGACCTCCAGGACTCAAGATCTGCACTCGGATGAAGCGACGCTGCCAGAATCCCTCAATGCCACCAGAGCTTTCAACCTCAGAACCTGTACACGATTGATCACAGCGTCGACAGTTAGGAGATTCTGAACGAGGAAGTGAACACCTGTAAATCAACCTTCGAAATGATGAGCGGCGATCTCCACAAATGTGCACTCTACACAATATGTACCAGAAAGACTTGACTTCATCGCACCTTAAATCCGTGCTAGCCTGCGCGTGCCCAATCTGAGATCGCCTGCAGAAAATGGGACGGATTCTCTACCCTGTACCCCCAGAACCGATCAGACCGCCAAGGCTACCAAGAGCTGCTCTCCACCGAACTCAGCAGTAGCACCGATGTCATGAACCACCCGACCCAGATGCACACGCCACCTTCTCCGAGCCCCACCTAAACAGGCCTAATTAAGCTAAACTGGAAGTTACAAGAACTTGAAAGAACAACCAGGCCGGTTCTTGATGATCTCAGAGAGCTTATGGGCCAAGATTCTGCAGGTACCATTATCGTTTCCGAGGGATGATGAGATAAGAGAAGATCGCAGTAGCGAAAACACAAGCAAATTCCTCCTCTTTTAACCTATCTATGCGCATCGGCAAGCTGGAAGTACACAAAAGGTGGCGCCACTCATGATCACCTCGAGGGGGCAAGTCCTTCCAGTACTTGTCCCAATTTCCGACCGGCTAGCAGCTGGACCCACGTCTAAAAGGTTCCGAGGGAAACGAAATCAAGCAATGCGAGACAAGGATTCGTGTGACTCTCGGCTCCCGTGTCAGACGCATCATGCTCGGCTCAATCGCCAGAGGATCCGACTACTTCATGAAAATTCTAAGAACAATCGAGACGCGCATGCGAGCGAGGGAATAGTGCTTTCTGTGGCTGATGCTCGCTGTCCAAGTGGGATAAGATTTTGAGGACTCGATGATACTTAACGAGCGTGGGCCCCTAAGGCAAAGGGTAGCATGTGTGATCCAAGCACACTCAGGGTGGTGATCGTGGCCGATCTCTATCTGTGACAGCTTTCGTCCCGGCCCCCTTCTCTCACTTATTTGGAGTTACTCAAGCTTTATAGCGCTTCGAAAACGACATGCCATGTGAAAATCCTGCATAAATCTTCACGGAACAAGCGATGTAGTTGCAGAGTGCTCAGATGTGAGCCCAGACTAGGGACATGCCCACGGCGGATCAAAACCCGCTAAATTGTGTTTACTATTTTTTTCGCAAGTAGTCTCCGTTGGTCTATCTGTTTACCGTAAGATTGTCAGTTGGTTTCACGGCTCGATGACAAGGTGACGGTCTCTGATGGAAGAAGCTGACACTCTACCAAAGATCGAAACATGAGCAGACAGGTCTTGCCTCTGCGCGTGCACATTTTCGATCAACCGACGGACTTCGTGAAAGCAACTCTACGTCGCCCTCTCGAAGGTGCAGCTACCTCCTCGATAAACAGATTCATCCTTTCTTGGACGTGGGAGAGCACACACAGACAACCCCCCCGACCGACAATTCTACTCTCTGCAGGGAGCTAATCATGCCGGTCACTTCTACGACGCCGAATCCTCTACACACAAGTGCCGGAATCAGAAGCGTTGGGCAACACCCTGCTCTTTACATGACTTTGGGCCGCAGAAGCATCCTTCCTAGCTTCTGCATTGGACAGTCATCTCGAGGCGCTCATGAGCCAAGCAAACTCATTCACATCCAGCCTCCACTTTTTGTTGACAATGCTCACCAGGTCTTCACCACTCTCCTCATCTCTCTCCCCCACTCTCGGCAACCCCCTGGACCCCACTCAGCATGATTGCCAAAATACCCGCCAAGGCCTTGCAAAACCTTATACAAACTTCTAAGCCGACCGATCAGCTGCAGGCCACGCCCACATCCGCTGCCAAGCGAGGTACAGACAGTATTACCCATCCAGCAGCAGCAGCTGTGTTAATTTAAGGTTTGATCACCGTTTTCATCATTACACCAGCGGGTTTCAATAACTGTAGCATATATATTTGAGAGCACATTTGTACTCCCCTTCTCCTAACATCTACACCCATCTTATTCTGCTCCAGTGCTTTGAGTCCCCTCTCCCTGATCCTGACAACCAATTCCCAACCCCGGGATCTGCCCTGTGTGAGTGAGACCAGCAACATAGTGTTTAATGTATAAACACACGTTGCGATTATCCTTCCTGGCGCATCATGAAACTACTCACAGGGAACAACATCTAGCTTCTACCCAATTAGCCACCCCTTAGTAGCTCCAGCTCAGCTATGTGTGGATCGCGCTCCATTGCACCCTCTGCCAGTCTAGCGACATGACAGCGTCGTCTTGTTCATGCTCCTCGGCGCCTCTTCTGCACACTCCCACCTTCAACACCATCACTGCACCACTCCATCATTCATGCATTCATTCCTTCCTTCTTTCTTTCTTTCATTCATTCATAGCCATTTCATAGTATATTATACCCCTCAAACAAAAACACACACACACACATATAGGTATATATATACTCTCATGTCGAATGTGGAAGTTTTGATGCTTTGCAGCGTTCATGATGCGGTCAGAAGAGACCGTGCTTCCCAGTCCAGACCAGTCCAGCGTTGTGCTGCTCGATCATGGCTGCTGCTGCCATAGCCGCAAGCAAGCAACTCCAAGGAAAGGAAAGGAAAACCCATTTTCTCTGCAAAAGGAGGCTCAGGAATATCTGCAACACTCACTCTTCTTCTTCACTGCCCCTCCCCACTCCTTTGACTCTCTACATTCCTCGTAAACCCCCCAAAACAAAATAAATAAATGAAAACTTTCCTCCCCTGTCCACTCCTTTCTGCTTATTCTTCCATGTCCGTAGATGATCTCTTCGAATAGATAGATCTTGGATCTCATAGATTTCTCCGTCTATTTGAGGGAGAAAAGTAATGGGTGCTTTATCAGGAAAGAATAAAAGGATATGTGATTGCTTAAGCTCCAGGGGTGCGGAGAAGGTGTTATTTTGTTTTATGGGGGTTATTAGCTTTAAAGTAAAGGAGGTTATGAAAAAGTACATGTTTTTGTAAAGGTAAAGGCTCCCATGGCAAGGTTATTTATTGGGGAAAAGAGAGACTCTCTATGTCTTTCTAAAACCCTCTGCCAACGAGGCTCCATTGTCATAAGATTTGCACAGTCCATCATGTGAGCCCATTTCCATCCATTTGGCTATCATTCCTTTTGTTTTGGTTTGCCTTTTTCTTTTTTTTTTGATAAAATAAAAATAAATGGTAGATTATTTTTATGCGTGCATTAAATTTTGACTCGCCTTATTGTGAGTTTTGATACTATGTTTGAAATTGTACAATGGCAGGTCATGTTTTTATTTTCATTTTACTTTATGTTGTTTTATTTCCTTTTTATAAATATTTCTTCAGTACTGGGTACAAGGCTTAGGAATGGCTTAAAAATCAATTCACTACAGTGTAACCAAGGCCTGCATTGAATATCACATGAAAAATTATGGTAGCCTCATTCCACATTCAATTATTATATGGTTTTTTTATATGTGTACTAGGTATGTGATTAAGTATTCTATATTTGTACTTTTTTATTGTAAGAGATAATTTATATAATTAATTGGGTATTTAATCTAATTTTTGGCAATGGTTTCGTAACAAGGTTGCAAAACCAAAAGCTGGATGATTCCATTGCCATTGATATTTAATTTTAATGATAAGTACTTTCTTGAAAAAAAAAAAAAAAAAAAAAAAAAAAACTGAGGATATGTTTTCATTAAAACATACAAGGTTTCTTGTTATTATTATTTTACTCATAATAAACCTTTGAAAAATGGTATTATTGTTAATTTTACATCAAATTTTGAATGCCTTATGGTCTCATAAATCTTACATGTTGATAGAATGGAGATGCAATTGAAAGAAAAAAATAATGAAATTTATTTGGGAAGAATATATATATATATATATATATATATATATAATAATAACTGTATTCAAACTTATGTTAATGCAAATCAGTGGTCATGGTATTAAAAAAATTTACAAAAAAATCTTGGAAACAAAATTATAAAATCCAAAGCATTATGTTCGAACAACTTTTGTGTTATATATATATATGTACGTCTGTACACACAGACATGCATTCATACACCCTTCAAAATGTTGTATATGAATATAGTTGATAAGTCTCTTTAATTATCTATATTACTCTATGTAATGAAAAAAAGACCTCCAAGTTATTTTGTGATTATTGAGACCTTCATAGCTACCTTTTAATAAAACATTGTGAAAATTGTATCTCTCTATCGATAAAAAATAAAAATAAAAAATCTCTCTAGAAGTTATTTATTTTGATTCTAATATTGCAAAGGTTAAAAAATCTAAAAGATTTATTCAATATTTTTACAAACAACAAATTTTAAGATAATAATGTTAGTTATTGGTTTTTTATGTTTCAAAAAGTTCTACAAATTGAATCTTAAAGTGATTTTGTACTTGGTTTTTAATTGTGTTATTATCAATAGTCGGTCATTAGTTTTAATGGATCTTGTTATTAAAAAACAACAAGTTTGAACTCAATTACAAGGCTCTTATAAGCCTCCATTAATATAAAAGATTTTTAAATTTATAATGGCACCACCTTGAATCCAAAACTTCTTTTACTTTAAATTTTTAATTATTGTTTATTTTAATAGGAAGCTATGATAATTATTTTCTTATTAATTTATTAATTATAGTATAAAGCTCAAAAAGAGATTTATGAAATATATAATGAATCTTCATTAAATATTGTAATTAGAATGATCTATTTATATATAAAAATAATTTAAATATTTAATAATCAAACTTATGAAAAATTAAAATTAATATTGGTTACAAAAAAAAAATTGTTATGCCTTATTACTAACTTTGAATGGAAGCTATTCTTCTCTATAAACATTTGTATTAGTTTTTTTATTCTTCTTCAAGCTTCTTTAATTGAATTTTTATTGTTATATGAAGCTTTTCTTTTATTTTTGTCAAATATTTTGTTTTTAGCTTTGTAAATTAAAAAAAATAAAGCATCAAATTTGTAAATGATAAGCATATTAAGTAAAAAAACAGAGCTTTTTGAATAAAAGAATATATTTTATTATTATATATATTTTTTCCATGTCAAGAAAGTTGTTTGTTTGTCTTGGTAATAGATGATGGCACAATGTAAATACTCTTCTAATAACTTATTCTTATGTTCTATTTATCCATTAAGTTAAAGATAAAAAATTAAAGATTACTTAAAAAAAAAAATTAATATATTAAAAGGTGTTTTCTAAAACTTTGAAAAATATCTAATATTAATAAATATCTAAAAAAATGATTAATTCACTTTATATTTATGTATATATATATATATATATATATATATATATACACTTTGCCATTTTTTTCTTGAGACAATCTACCATCATAAAAATGAAGTGATTAGAGAAGTTTATACAACAAACAATATAAAGTCTTTACTATATAACAAGTATCTCAAGATTAAAAGAAGATACTACCTAAAAGTTATGTCATGCTTGAAGTAAATATAATTATGCTTGAGTTTTTGGAATATATAAATACCATATATATATATATATATATATATATATATATGATTCTATTTGAGAAAATTTGTTTTTAAAATAATTTAAATATTGATGAATTTATTTTAATTTAAAATAAATTAGACAAATTAAGCTTGTATATAATTAGAGTTGCAATAAAAGTTTTTTTAAATCCTTAAAATAATAGTTATACATCTACAATCTAGTCTAATTTTATTTAAAAAATAATTTTATAAGTAGAATAATAACTCAAGAATTATTTTGAATAAGTATTTAATAATATTTTTAAATTCTAAAAAAATACTTGAAAAAATATATGATTTTAAAATTATCTAACATATAATAGTTTATATCTTCTTCAAATATATTTAATAATTTTGATTTTTAATTATATATTCCAAAAACTCCACTTATATTGTATAAAATACATACTTTTCTATCTTGGTGTAGAATCATGTATCTCTAATTTGATCTTGTTGAATGATTATGATTATTATGGTTATTATTAATATTATTATTACAGGAACATTCCAATTGAGGCATATGGCACGGTCTAGGGATTCTCTTTAAGATGACGTGGATAGCACTGGTTGGTTGGCATAAATGTTGATGTGGCACTAGGGGGACGGGTACAGCACCATATCAATCCCACGAAACTGGATCTTATGACCGTGAATATGTTCTGATATGGAGCTTATCAGAACTCTACCAGGACAGCCTATGAGACACAGCATCATGCCTAACATGAATAAATGAGAAAAAATAACAATGATAATAATAAAAATAAATTTCCTTCACCACACGTACAATATATTCGCAGCACTCTGTTTATCTTCTGCCAAAATTAATTCACTGCTTGCAGCTTTAATAATAATAATAATAAGAAGAAGAAGAAGAAGAAGAAGAAGAATATCTGGGTGATTCTTAGTTTTAGTTTTAGTTTTTTTTAAAATCTCTTGCGGAAATTAATGTTGATTTTAATTCGTACAAGGATTTCACTGTTTGAAGCTTGAATGAGTAAAATATGAAATTCTAAGTTTTGTAAAATGTCGTTTTTTGATAAATAGTATTGGTATGCAAATGTCATGTGTTTTGTAAACCGAATATATATATATATATATGGAAGAAAATTGAATTGGACATGAATCACAAGTAAGTAATTTAAATATTTGAATTATTAAAATATTTGTTATTCAGCATTCTCCATAACTATCAAAACTTCTGTTTTGTTTTCTAAGCATACAAATTTAAGTCAAGTATTGTCACTATTCAAAAGCATATTTGAAATATTAAGTTATCAGAATTCTGTAAGCAAAAACATGTAATAGTAATAATAATAATATCCTATTTATTTCAACAATTTTCAGGGACATTTTTGTGTTCTGTTCCACTGCTCTTGCTTCGAAGCTGCACAATAAATTTGTATAACAAAAATGTGAAACGTGTGTAAAATTTCACAACTTTCCAAAAGGAAAAAGTTCAAAAAAGTACCAAATCCACCCATTTGCTTGTTAGTTTGTTTTGTTCTTCTAAAGAACACAATACATTCTTACTATTGACTGTGTTGGGACACCAGTATGTTTTTCGACATAAACAAATGGATGGATGAATGGTGATGAATGATGGAGCAACGGGGGGGTCCTCTAGGTCACCTGCAGCATGAAGCTGCCTGCCGTCTGGAAGAGACGGTCTCCAAGTT